ACATAAAAAACATAATAATGAATTCCAGAATTTTAATTCCTATACTTTCAATAGAGTTAGTTACCTATGAAATCATTTGATTCATGTTTAAAACTACTCGTGTTTTTATCTCGGTTTACAGTCAATCAACTGTTGTTTATTCATTAACAAGTAGCTAAATAAATGAAAATCTTGTCAAAACATTAATTTAATTATACCCTTATAACAAGAATCATTAAATCATTAACCGAAATGAAATGTGACAACAATCTAGTTTAAGAAAATTAAAGAAGAAGAAGAAGAAGAAGAAGAAGAAGAAGATGATGATGATGATGATGATGATGATGATGATGATGATGATGATGATGATGATGATGATGATGATGATGATGATGATGATGATGATGATGATGATGATGATGATGATGATGATGATGATGATGATGATGATGATGATGATGATGATGATGATGATGATGATGATGATGATGATGATGATGATGATGATGATGATGATGATGATGATGATGATGATGATGATGATGATGATGATGATGATGATGATGATGATGATGATGATGATGATGATGATGATGATGATGATGATGATGATGATGATGATGATGATGATGATGATGATGATGATGATGATGATGATGATGATGATGATGATGATGATGATGATGATGATGATGATGATGATGATGATGATGATGATGATGATGATGATGATGATGATGATGATGATGATGATGATGATGATGATGATGATGATGATGATGATGATGATACATAAAGTGGGGAACAGTAATTTATTGTTTCATACAAAATTACAGAATATCTAAGTAAAATACGAGAATCATAAGCTGAATACTTCATTTGCAATGCTAACTGGTGTTGTAGATGGTTGGAAGAAAGTTAAGAGTGGTCAAACCAAAATGTGGCATCAGTGCATAAAGTCAATAACTTCTAGTCTGAACCATGTTGGAAGATGTAAACTACTTGGTTGGGGTCCGCATGATTATCATAACCAATGGTAGGAAACTTTGGATGACTTTGGCTCAGAATCGATCACAATGGCGTCGGTGTACACACTCTTTGTGTTCCCTTAAACTAAGAGATTACAATCGTTTCATATCTTTCTTTCTACGAACTAATTCTCTCTTCCTGTACTATATCCTTATATGCAATCTTACTTTTATATGTTACCACCATTGAATTAACTACTTTTATGAATCCGGTATTTATCTTGTTGTGTTATTGAGGTATGGCAACTTGGACCGATGTATGTATAAAGTTTCTCCAGAACCTGTTCTTATTATTAGGTATTATAGATAATCTATGTTTATTTACTTAAATACAGTATGTGTATGAAGAGTTACTCTATCAAATCAACAATATAATAAACAATATAAACATAATAAAAAGCAAAACAATCTCAACGACATCATTAGACAAGTAAATAAACTAAAATAAATGAATATTTGCTTTGAGTAATTATTTCTGTCTCAATAAATAAATCAAAGAACGTTTCAAGTAATTTGTCTAATGAAATAATAATAATAATAATTTAAAAGAAAGAAAACAACAACGGCAACAACAATACGGAAATTAGGCTTATGCAACTCATAGTGTGGTGCGTGCTACTTATATTGATATAAGTAGTATATGACGCGAGTCAGGAATGTAATGTCTGGTGGCAGAAGATGGGGAAGATCAAGAAAGGAAGAGCGGGAATAAAAGGCAATTAGTATGGAAACGCAAGAACAATGAAGTTCGAGACAATTATTGAACATTTTGCAAATTAAGTATTATAGTATGGTTTTTTCTATTTTACCAAGTAACTCTGTAATTTTGTGCTAAATGATAATTCGATTGTCCTCACCTGTGTTCTCCTTCACTACAATACTAAGAAGAAACATCCATCCAGTGATTCCAGATTCATTTAGAAGGAAGAAAATAACAACAACAATACGGAAATTGGGCTTCTACAACTCATAGTACATTTAAAATCTAACTTTTAGATAAGGAAAACAATTTCAGATCTCATCAGGGTTATACTACATACTGATTGTGAATAGATAATCAATCGAAATAAAGAAGTACTGTATAGATGGTTTGTTTCAATGTAGTACTTATCAGTTCTTAATGGAAAATGTACTAACCAAGGGATTAAATCAAGAGGTTAGAAGCATTGCTAAAATGTTCTTAACCTTCAGATCTTCGAGTATATGTTAAACGGTTGAATTCAAACAATTTTTTTAAAAAAGCATTATACAACCGTGATCAAATATAATTGGTGAGTAACTAATTTACTTTTAGCATAGTTACATTTTACAGGTCATGGTTTCTCAATAAAACTGCTTGAATCACCATTTGTCATTGGTTACTGGTAAGTGTACTATTATTATCACTATACAAAGTTTATGAAAGTTGAACTGTAAACCGTTGTTTGCTCAATCAGCTGCTTAACGGCTAAAGCTTGAAATTAAAGCTTTTAGATTCAATTCCTATAATCTGCATGTGAAGTCACTGTCGGTGATATATATATATATATACCTACACCCACTTCCCTCTGTGCTTCCTGCATCCTTGAGGATTTTAGTAATCACTAACAATAAACTTACCCTACAACTGATGTTGAGGCTTTTGAATAATCTGGAGTAAACCTATAATACTACTAGGAGACTTAGTCTAAGCAAATTCTTAGTTAAAAAGATATTATTTGTTGGAGTCATATTTAGAGGAATTAACCTCTACAGATATACATATTGAACAAGATACAATTCATTATTTAGTCAGAAAACAAGAAAAATAACTATAAGATCAAGATGAGATATAACCATAAGTAATGTGAAGAGAATGACAGAACAATAATTTCACTGATTGAAATTATGAGTCAACTGAAGCTAGACCACCATGGAAAACCTGGAAGCACTGGACGGCCGTTTTGTCCTAGTATGGGACTCCTCAGCAGTGCGCATCCACGATCCCGCACCACACGAGATTTGAAACGGTCGTCCAGTGCTGCCAGGTTTTCCATGGTGGTCTGGCTTCAATTGACTCATAATTTCAACCTGTGAAATTTATAGATTAGTGCAAGGAATAAGTATTAGGATTTCCAGTTGAATTAGATTTAATATTTCCATCACAAACTGACATCAGCTATAATGACAAAATGATATTTTTACCAAATGAGTAAGTGAATTCCGCGCCAAAATTCATGACCTATTATCTTAAATCTGATTGTTTCCTTCATGAATTATAATCTTACCGAACTATTTATATCATCATTAGCCTCAATAGCCCACTATAGGATTATAATTAATAAACATTAATTTTTAAAAAGTGAATAATTCACCAATGTCTACTACTTAATATTCTATTATACAAATACGTTTATAAACAATTGAAGAATAACTATAAAATAAGATGAATTTATATCATTCCACTTCATTTGTTATTCTAACTTTCATTATGAGAGATTTGTGGAGACTGTATCATGTTCACAGTTGAATTCACAAAATAATCTAGGCTAGACAACCACTGAAAACCTGAAATCATTGGATGGCTACTTTGTCCAAGTATGGAACTCCTTATCAGTAAATATTCTAACTTTATTAGGTTTTGATTTTAGGAATCACTACTTTATAAAACATCATATTTATTGGATTAGATCATATATTTTAGAGACCAATATTGATATGTTCACTAAATGAAATGAATATTAACTGAAAGAGTTTGTATTTTAGAGTTGTTTATGTTAAACATGGAGAGGATCGGCAAAACAAGGGCAGCATTCCTACAATTGAAGAACATATGGAAATCAAAACAACAATCAACCGATATCAAAGTCATAATCTTCAATACGAACATCAAGGCAGTTCTACTCTACGGAGCTGAAACTTGGAGAACTACAACAACCACCATCAAGAATACACAAGTATTTATGAATGGTTTTCTACACAAGATACTCAATATCCATTGGCCGGATTCCATCAGCAACAGCCTCCTGTGAGAGAGAACAAATCATCTTCCACCTGAATACGAAATTCGAAAAAGACTATGGAAATGGATAGGACATACATTACGGAAATCATCAAACTGCATCACGAGACAAGCCCTGACTTGGAATCGTGAAGGGAAGTGGAAAAGTGGAAGGCCAAAGAACACATTACGTCGGCAAATCGGAACAGATATGAAAAGGATGAATAACAACTGGAAGGAGCTAAATAGGATTGCCAAGGACAGGGTTGGTTGGAGATTGCTGGTGAGCGGTCTATGATACTTCACGAGGAGTAATAGGCGTAAGTAAGTAAGTAAGTTATGTTAAACAAATCAATTAATTAATCTCTATTGACTTATATGCATCATAAATCGACTACTTGAAAGTCCCATTACGTAAATATATGTTTATTAAATCATTACAAATAATAACTCATACCGATTACACAAACTAATCGTTATCTGAACTCAACCAATAAGTGAATAAGACTAGTAATTTTAAAGGCCATTTTTAGTGGTTTCTAATCTCTATGTAAACATCAAAACTGTGATGTGCTTTATGTTGACATAACTAGTTTCAGATTTAGATTTAGTCACTACGTATCATTTATGAAGTAAATATTGAAAACATTTAATGTGGTGTGTGCTATTGATGTCGACAGATATAAGTAGTATGTAACATCAATTGAAAGTAAAATGCTTGAAAGCAGAAGGTTAAGATAATCGAGCAAATGAAAATGAGAACAGTGAATGATTGGTAAAGAAACAAAGGAACAATGAAGTCTGAAACGATTGATTTACGTTTTACAAATGAAGAATTTACTGTATGGTTCTCACATTTCACTATGATATTCTGTAATTTTGTATTCAAATACATTCGATTATTCCCACTTGTATTCTCGTTCACTATAATAGAAAGACATTATTACATATAATTATATATGTTTATTCACTTTACAAAACATTATGATAACCCTCTATATCAGGTAACTTTTGAAAACCTATTGAATACATACCTTGTTTCTTCTATCGGATGTAAAATATGCAACATATTAGGATGATGAAGTTGAGTTAATAAACGTACATCACGTTTTAATACACTAGTCACAATATCACGTCTTCGAGGTTTATGAAGTTTGTCAGCAATTGACTTATCAAATAAAAATACAGAACATGGCTGAAACGAAAAAAAAACAAAAAGTACTTTTTGAGTAATTGTAGTTCTTTTCAATAAATCAATCGGTAATATAAATCAATAAAAAAAAAACGATAAGGGGTCCAAATGTTAGGCATCTTCTGAAAGACAAATGGATATGGAGTTTGGTTAAAGGTAAGGTGTTAAGAATGAACAATAATGAGGGGATTTTATACAAGGATGAAATAGTTGGTCAGTACTTTCTGTTATTCAACAAGATGTTTAAATAATATTAGCGTGTAATGTAAACAATATAATCCAATAATTTTCACATACCTCATAAACCATAAACATACAATGGGAACATTCAGCTTGAATGTTTACACTTTCATTATGGCGATGTACAAAAAACATATAAAAGCACAACAATGTTTACATAGGTATATGTTTATCAGTGTGAAGTTTTGATTTATTTAGTTCAAATTAGAGAGCTATTGAAATATTGAAGTATTGGAGAGCTTATCCAGCCTATCATGAGACTTCGCATTAGTGTGTGTCGACGATCTCACTAATAGATATTGAACCTAAGTCATTTGTTTGCCTTTTGTATCAATGAACAGGGATTCAGTACTGTCATTTTAACATAAATCAATTTATGATATTACATAATCATTTTTTTGATTTCACCATCAGCTTGTACTTTCCTCACATGCAACTGAGCCCGATTTCTCACTAGAAATATGGAAATTTCCCCAAGAAGTTAGTCATCAGTAAGCACATGATAACTACCAGTAAATGATGATAGAAAATGTCGAATTTAACAGGGATACGTTACGAGATTGGATGTTCACTGTCCAGTTGCCGATGGAAGGATTACTGATACATAGCGCCAAAGAGTCTTTTATTATGAAGAAACAGCTTTCAGGATTACAATAGTTACTAATGAATGATAATAAGTAGATTCAGTGGGATTTTGAGTATACCATAACTTTCAATAATAATTGGGAATTTATAACTAAAAACAAGGCTTTTTAAAGAAAGTTACAATTACCTAATTCCAACTCAACAGTTCCAATAAGACGTCAAATACTTATTATATAAATATTTATATCAGAACGGGCTTTTGTGAATATTATAGTTATTTCACTAGTTGACAACATAAGTCAATTGAAGCTAGACCAACATTGAAAATCTGGACGCACTGGACGTCCGTTTCGTCCTATTGTGCGACTCCTCAGTAGTACGCACTCACGAGATTCAAACTCAGGACCTATCGGTCTCTTCCTTTTCTCTCTGATTACATAATGGTTAGTCGAACGTTATTTGTAGATTGTTGAGATTATGTATTCTTGTCGTAATAATGCATACACAAATTGTGATTTGGTCTTGACATATCTTTTAAAAACAAATACACCTAATTAAAGAGAATAATGAATTGAAGATGATTGTTTGTTAAAAATGAAGATTGATTTCTATTGAGTTATTTTACTCAAAATTCAGTTTATATCATAGTTTTACTACAAAGGTATGGTGGTCTGCTTGAATATTTGAGCTACCTGTTCCTGCCATCTAGATCTCTCAACAAGTCGTCTAATTTTCTTTGTTTTAATACATCATTATGTCTGTCAATCGGTTTACCTATTCCGACGCCTTTATGAAAAGTGTTCAACCTTTCGTTGTACAAGTTATAAAAGAGTTCAGTTAGAGAAATCGGGGTTGCTGGCAATATGCAATGAAAAGAATGTAAAATATTTCGATGTTGATTGACTGGGCTGCCAACTTCTAGTTGGCAACCGCTCAATATTTATCGTCAATATTGATCAAGAAATAAAAAACAGGAACTCATTGAAATACTCTGTGCTGTGAGTTCTATATTGTACCAAAAATATAATAGTGAATAAAGCTTATAAGAACAATAATTGGATTGGTTGAGGTTCGACATTAACAGCGTTGGATACCGGCCGGCTCAGTGGTCTAAAGTTTAAGTGTTCGCGTGCAAGACGGAAGGCCCTGAGATCGACTCCGGCAAGCGGGACAATGGATGCGCACTGCCGAAGAGTCCCATACAAGGATTAAATGGCCGTCCACACTTTAAAGCATACTTAAATCAATTCTTTGTCTTGTAAAAATACCTAACCGTTTTCATCTTACTTCAGTGACATGAATTTATTATTTTTCCTTTTTGATACAGTTAATAAGATCATTAATCAATTGAAGCTAGACCACCATGGAAAACCTTGAACCACTGAACGGCCGTTTCGTCCTATTGTGGGAGTCCTCAGCTGTGCTTCAATTGACTCCTGATCTCAACTATTGAGATTAGTACAAACAGTTAATAAGAGACAGACGTAAATGAAATTGATTTTTTACCATAACTTTTTATAACCTTCATACTATTATCTAAACTAATACAAGTGGGGAAGAAAATGAGAATTTTAACAAAACATCTTTAATTTAATGATAAATTAATTACCTTGAATATGCTAAGACTTTGGTATAACCATTTCTACTACACTATTCACATGTCTTATTTCGTTAACGAAATAATAATTTCAATAGTTGAGATACTTGATAATAGACCACCATAGAATAACTGGAAGCATTGGACGGCCGCTTCGTCCTAGCATGAAACTCCTCAACAGTGCGCACCCACGATCTCGTCTCACGAGATTCGAACCCAGGACTTATCGGCCTCATGCGTGAACGTTAAACCTCTAGTCCACTGAGCCGGTATAGTGTCTAACTTCAACTAATCCATGGAATTGAGCGACACATCCACCACAGTATTCGCTGAGTTTCTATTTCACAACAGACCCGATTGAACTGCACTGGTCACTTCCTCTGACAAGAACTCCAAGAAATACCTCTTGAGGCCAGTCACTAGTGAACACACGTTAAATAATCGATTCATGTTGTAAATCAAGAAGTTCTAGTGAGAAACTGTAATCAATCCACTACAATCAATGTCCGATCTCAGATACATATCCAACTCAGTCAATAGATGAATTATTTCACATTATCATAGATTAATTCATGTTAAACATTAACACCGTTGTATGCAAACTCAATAGTCTGGAGTTGAAGAATTCACAAGCGATACCGAATATCGGGAATTCTAAGGTCGTGCGTTGGACCACGAGCAAACACTGATAACGTGTTCCATACTAGAACGAAATAACCGTGTAATGCTTTTAGGTTTTTATAGGTGGTCCAACTTAGATCAACTCATGATTTCAACCGTAAACTTAATATTCTATCCAAAAATCCCCATACTAAGCAGTGAATAATAGTTTATAAATGGGGAATTGAATTAACTAAATGAACATTAAATAGTTAGTTTGAAGTTATATTATTCATTAATCTGTTGACAAAAGATCAGACTTCTAAAGTTTTTCAATGAAACTCTTGTCAGTCATTAATTTCTTAAAATTGTCTATCATGAATCGGTTTTAATCTAAATTGTTTAATTAGAAGGTAACTGGTGTTATGACTATAGCCTCAGCAGCAGTACACAAGGGGAAAACCATGATCTTCAAATACAACATAGGAAACACCAACCCAATCTCACTTGATGGAGAAACTCTCGAAGATGTGGAACCTTTCACGTATCTGGACAGCATCATCAATTAACAAGAAAAGTCCCATACAGACATAAAGGCAAGATTTGGCAAACCAAGAGCTACATTTTTACAATTGAAAAATATATGGAAACCAAAACAACCCCTAACCAATGTCAAAGTCAGAATCCTGAAACTTGGAGAACTACTACATTCATCATCAAAAATGTACAGTATTTATAAACAGTTGTATAAGCGAGATACCATTAGCATCAGCCTACTGTGGGAGAGAACAAACAACCTTCCAGTTGAAGAAAGGGAAAGGAGTTGGAAGGAGATAGGAGATACATTGAGAAAATCACTAAACTTGGAATGTTGAAATAAAACGGAAAAGAAGAAAGTCAAACACACTGTGCCGTAAATAAGAAGCAGACATGAAAACGATGAATAGCAGCTGGATAGGATTGTTCAAGACAGAGTTGGATGGAGAATGCTAATGTTTGTCCCATGCTCCTCCACAATCTAAGAAATTACGTTTTATTTTGTTTTCAATATTATCATTCACAAAATTCATATAAGTGTATATATACTTGTATAGAATAGATGGATTATAGGTAGAAGTGAAATCATGAATTTCTGCTTCACTCTATTTTAATTTCGTTAGCTGAACACGTCTACATTCCAGTACTGATGTTCATATTACAATTGACTACAATAAATACTGTTAACTGATATTTTTTTTATTGACAACGTTCCTAGAGACGTTCAATCTATGTCAAATATGAATGAATAATATATTTGTAATATCCCAGTGAGTAGAAAAACTAGATTTTCTGACGTTTTGTGACTTAGTGTAAGTCACTTCTACAGAGAATAACAATCTAACCATTGTTCAATTTATTCGAAATTATCAAATCAAACCTTGGTAATGATGCCTATGTCAAATATAAATCATCATGATAACTTTAGTTAATAATCAGGTGACTGATTATTATCATCATCAAATGATTGATTAACATGGTTCTATTTAAAATGTACACTAAGATACGTTAAAATTATGAATGACAAATGCTTTTCCCTATTTGAAAAGATCATCAACTTGATCCGTTTTTCCAACAAATCATCAGTTTTTCTGTTTGTTTGTTTGTTTTTTTATTCTCAAAGATCAAGCTCCAAGAACACAGTTACTAATCCACACAAAAAAAGAGAAAATAGTCCAAGTCATGTGGTTAGATAATGATCAACTATCAAGTTGATGACTTTATAAACATTTCTGTTTTGTTATTCATTCAACAACAACAAAAAAATAAATAGAATGAACAAACAATTTTCGAATGTTATCTGTTTACATGATCAATTGGACAGTTATATTGGATACAATACAACTTATGTATCTGCTAACTAAGGGGTATATATATATGTACACGTATGTTTGTAGTTATGTGTATTTTTATTAAATGTCTTAATTGTGTGTGTTGTTGATTG